TGTCCGCTCCTTGAGCGAGTTGATCAACTCGACCAGGCGCAGGCAGAACTGCTGCACGACGAAGACGTCATTCTTGAGCGGGCCAAGCCGCCAGGACGCCTCATTCTTGGTCAGGGCGCCCTGGATGTTGTCAAAGGCGACCGTGCCGAGGCCGCCAAACTCGAGTCGCTTCAACCCCGAGAAGGACGCCAGCACATCTTGCGTGAACTTGGCCGTGTTGAAACTCTGCGAGGGCAGAAGAACCCCGTCGATGCTCGCGGGCACACTGGTCATGTAGGCCATGGCCGCTGCGTCGAGGGCCGGCGTGCTGCGCTCGATCGCAGCAGCGAGTGGGGTCTTCTGCTTGGTGACTTCTCGCACATGGATCCACTCCAGGCGGCCTCGATGAGCCTCTGTGCATCCCGTGCCAAGTCGGGCGCCACATTGTGGACGTCGGCATCTGAAATTTGCTGCACCAGCTGCAGAAGCGATGCAGGCACTGCTTGCGATGGCTCCGACCCCGACGCTCGCCGCTTGCGGCTCGCCATTTGAGTCACCAGTCAAGGACGCGCTGATGAGCCACCTGATTGGCCCCCAACGCGCCGGGGCAGTCGGCCGGCACTTGGGTCGATTCCGCGTGGTACGGAACCCCTCGATCGTCTCGCCCTCCCTCACTGGTGTGTTCATTGGTGGGGTTCATAACAAACACGGTACAGGATCGAGGTGCACGCTGCCGAAACAGTGTCGTCCCCCCTCTCCTCGACGGCGATGGCGGTGTGACCGATCGAGCTACAAGAGGAGCTTGTTCAGCAGGATCCGGGATATCTTGTTTCTTGCGTATGACTTGGCAAGTCAGGAAAAAAAAACGGAAAAGCCCGCGAAGGGTTGAGAAGGGAACTCGAGATTGGCCTTCGCCGCGTTTGGATACCGAGTCCATGAGTCGAATTGTTGTCGGCGGGCTGAATGTCGTTACACCTCTGTCGTTGGTCCCAGCCTTGGGTGCAGCGTGCCAGCGTGGGCGAGTCAACCAGGCGGCGGCCCCCGGTGGCGGCGGTCGGGCCGGGCTCGGAGCCATCGAGCTCTCGCTGGCAAGTCAGGACACAGAGCTCACACCAATGGGAATTATTTTTTCTGGCTGGGCGCCGCTCTTTCCCTCGCATAGCGGCCACTCTTCGGATCGCTGGTCGAGCGACCCGGGGGATGCCCCGCGCGCCTGACCCAGGCGCAAAAACGAATCTGCGAGGCGTGGCCGCTCATGCGGCCCGATGGGGAGGAGCGGGGCGGACTACGGGGATCGGCTTCTTACACCGCCCTTCCCTGCAGCGAGCCTCCCCCCAACCCCCACCCGCGCTAGGTCTCGGGGGACGCAGGGGTCACACCCGACGACCTCGGGAACTAGCCGGGGCAGTCGGAGAAGGGGCAACTCCGTGCACTGACGGTCGGCCGTCAGAAAACACGCCTCCGTGGCTCGGGTTACACCAACCCTCGCTACCCAACGCGGCCAAAGGATATCCACCTCGAGAACCTCGAGAAGTGAGTGAGTGAGTATTCTTGTATTATTCTTGACACACACACACACACACACACACACACACACACACACACACACACACACACAACCTCGAGAAGGCGCTCTCAAAAAAAGAAATAATCGCCTTTGGCCCGGCGTCTCAAGACTCTCCGCCTGCTGGTCCGAGATGTTCTTGCGCCCAGCTGCCCCTGAAGCGGCAGCGAAGGGCGCCAAGCGGCGCTGGAGGCGCCTCGACGTGGTGGACCCCGCCGTGTATGCCAAGCCGGGCGAGCGGGTCCGCGCAAAATTTCAGGGCGACATCGGCGGCTTCAACTGTACGCGCTCATCCCCTTATCACTGTCCCTGCACACATGTCAGAGGGCACGCACGGACTAGGTCGCATGGGCTCCCTCCAAATCCCGTGCTTCAGCGGTTCTACTAGTGATGTCGGCCTCTGCCGCCGCTCTCGCCTCATCGCCGCCGCCCCCGCCGCCGTCTTCTCCTCTGTCCGATGCCTCCCTTGCCACCCACGCCGCCGCCACCATCCCAGCTGCCCTAGCCGCCCCCGCCCCCACCCCCACCCACGCCCGAGCCAACCACGCAGCTCCATCCCCACCGCCGCCCTCGCCCCCGCCCTCGCCCCCGCGCCGCCCTCTCACTCTCCACAATCTCCGCCCCAGCCAACGCCTCTGCCCCCCCGCCCTCGCCGCCGCATCCCGCCCCCTCGCCGCCCTCCGCCGCCCTGCGGACTGCCGCTGTTCTCGCCCGCACCTCCAGCCGCCTGCTGCTCTCGCCGACATCAAAACCGCCGGCACCATCTTAGCCGCAAT